ATCAGTTGTGGTGTAGTGCTACAGTTGAACGAACGGTTCTGTAATGTGCCTGCCACGCGTCTATTAGGTAAGAAGGAATGAACCGTATTGCGAGGAGTCTCAAACAGTTAAACTCACGATGTTTATATACCTTGGAATATACGAAGAGATAAACCAGAATATCAGCACTGTGGAATAGTCCGGCAAGGTTCCAAAGATGGACGAGGCTAGCCTTCCAAGTGGTCCCAGAGACCGAAACAATCCATACAGGAGGGAAGCTCCAATTTAGTTCCCGGAAGATCATCACTCAGAGACGAACTCAGATCAACTGAGCCGAACTTCAGAAGAACTTCAGACGAACTCCAGACGAACAGAGACCCAACTGACGCCTTCGAGCCTCTCACGAGGCGGGAGCTTTGTTATTGTAAGATAGTATGCCGCGGCATGAGGGGCTCGACGACGCCTACAAAACTGTCTGTACAAAGCTCAACTTAAGCAAGGCACAATGCATGGAGAATACAAGGAAAAGAGAGTGGATAAAACAAGGATAATGATTAGATAGGATAGAACAAGAATAATGGTGAGAAACAATACATAAACTAGAGTATGAGGGATAGCTAAACCAAATGAAATGTAAATAAACTGTTGAAAGGATCGCGCTTAGTCGCGATAGCGTATGCTATTCTATCGTAAGTCCTTTCGGGGAGAAAAGTCGCAAAGTTTATAGGGCGAGAGATCCAAACGATCTTGAAGCCACTGCATGCGATTGGGTGGGTAAACTAGGTACTTGAGCAAGCAAGGAAATGGATGAGCACGAAACTGAGAATTCTCATGGTCCCGAATACTTGAGGCGCTCTGCGCCGCACCCCTCTCACTCACTTTATCCAATGTTCCATTTTTAAATATGGGTTAGTCATGCCATACTCAGAAGGTGATTTCGTGTTCCTATCATATTGATGCTTCATTCGATCTTTTGATAATGAGAAAAACCTGCTTTCCTTCAATCTGATTCATTTCAACTCTACGTACCAATTTCTTTACCACGCGCTGTGGGTGAGCCATTTCCAATACTCCATGAGACGCAAGGTTCAGGAGAGCTGTATAGAGCTGTATAAGTGTAATACACAATGATATATGATGAAAATTCAAGCTCTATACTATGATATACTACTGAAAGAAGTTCGAACAGCACAGTAATCTACATACCGAATCAGCGATCTACAAAAGCGAAATCATTTTTTATCCTATGTAAACATGATGCGTAGTGAACAGGTGCGCATGAATTTGTATATTGCACAAGATGCATGCACTATTTTTTGCGCAGGATTCCTAGTTTGTAGAATGAAACATGGTTCTTGATTTTTACAGAATTTTCCCTTTATCCATAGCGCTGAACCAGTATTAGCAGCTGTTATCACAGCCATGGACATATGATCCATTGCATCTTGCGCAGACACCAACGACGCCACGATGCTTTGCAGCATAATCCTCTTTACGCTTCAATGAAGCGCAGCTTCAGGATAATATGTAATTCCCATAAGAAAATAATGTGCTCCAGCGAAAATAGTGCGCGCCGCGGCGACTACTCTAGCCTTCGGGGATGCTTCCCCCAACGATAATGGTAGGGGGACGCGTCCCCGAAGCTCGGTGGGCGTGGCCTCTCCCCGAATGAGCTTCGGGGACGGATAGCATACGACTTAGGGGACGCATCCCCTTCCCCGAAAGCATAGCATACGGCCCTATACCTACCAATGTGGCGACCGAAACAAAGAATGATACCGATTGGTACACTCATCGACACACCAACCGTCGCAGCAACCGCACTACCGACCAATATGCAGACAACATATACACTGAGGCGTTCACGGTGTTGGGGAGGAAGGAGAGAGAGGAGGGGCATTCAGGTGAGATTCACAGCAGTTGAGAGTGAGCAATTGAGACGACGCCTCAGGGAGGGGAAGGGATTCTGGAATATTTGAACATTTTTGGGGCGGAAGTGGTGTAGTGGCAAGTGGCACGCTTACCACGCGAGCGGTCCGGGGATCAAATCCTGGGTCGTGAGTCGCCCGGGCCAACCAAGCCTTCCATCCCTCCGGGGTCGGTTAATTGGTACCAGACTTGTCTGGGAGGATAAAAACACTGACTTGTACATCGGCAAGTCATTGTATAGGCCACATCGCATTCAAACGAATGTACAAATGGAAGTAGAATGCGTGCCGCATCCCAAAAAGGGATTGATCAACGGCAAATGCTTTATCCTTTTTTTTATTTGAACAGTTTTATATTCTCCCAAACTTTTCGACCTTTCGTGGGCTTAGTTCTAGTGTTACCTTCCATCGGCCCTAATTGAACGTTTCCCCCCCCCCCCCCACTTATCTTTCAATGTGAGACGAATTCCTCTACCTTACTCATTAAGTAGCGAACTTCCTCGAGTGCATAACGAAAAATCTTCAAGAAATCTCTTTCTAGAGGTACCCTAGCATTTAAATTCTTCTAATATGTACCGCATCTCAACCTAGTAGCTCTGTGGCTGGAGTGATTGATTTCATTCTCAACATAAAAAGGAATTTGAAACTCTATAATAGCACTTATACTACTAGTAATAATAACCCATAGCGTGTTTCAAAAGAGCCTAAAAATTACTCAGTTTGAACTCGTTGAAAATTTGTCCTCTAGCCTCTCGTTTCGTACTGGAAAACTGGCAACTTTCAGTTAGAACAAAAACAAGCGGCCGTACCGATGCTTAAATTTGAACTGTTCATCCTCCTTCACATGGAAAAGGTGAAAAGCCGTCACTTCTGCAAGTACGTTCTCACTGAACACTTCAGTAAGCTATACAGCTGGCAAATGACCCAAAAACTATCCCGGCAGTATTTAGCTTTCCAAGGGCCTCCATCCAATACGTGGTTGATAGCTCGACTGGACTTGATTAAAGGCATGCCCCAGGATCACATTGGTGTGGCTCTTGCACACGAATGCGAATGTATTGCGAAATGGGCCGGCAGTAAAGAAAAAGGAAAAGAATCCGTCGAAAACGCTTAGGTTAAGGGCTCACTCACCTTCCTAATCGGCTGTGCTAAGGGAATGAGAGACTAAGCGCGGAGAGGAGAGTATGAGGCGAGAGAGCGCTACAGATGAGAGAGCGCCAGACAACAGCCTGATAAGAGAAAAAACTGCAGCTTAGCAGCTTACTTTGCAAGGCCCAAGCGCTCTTGTCGGTTGGTTTCCGTGCACGGGAACGCCACATTTGTGATTGTCCTCTAGGGTCTATACTACAGACCGAAGAGAAGCGTTCACACGACCTCTGCCTGGGTTGTGCCTTTAAAGCTGGAATAACCTACAAGCCTTACAAAAATCTTGAATCGTTGCTATTCACAGATGCTAGGTATAAGGAAGAATATTAGATACAGCCGTTGCGAGCGAGGTCCTCGATTGCCACATCGTTATTCGGCAGCTCCAAGATCGCCACGTTTACGAAAACAACCTAGCACTGTCACGAGACCTGATATACGCACCAGGGACCGTATGCAGCAGAGTCAACCCTGCGTTGCGCAGTTCGCAACGGCACGTTGAGAGATCCTCAACGCACGCTGTATGGGCGGAGACACAGACGGCTCGAGCATGCGAGTGTGAATGTTCGCGCGAGAGAACGTGTCTAATCGGGCGAAACTGCGCAACGTGGCCGTTGAGAACTGCGCAACGCAGGGTTGACTCTGGTATGCAGCAGTACACGGCCAATGAAGATCTCCCAAAACTAGCGATTTAGCCGCTGAGGTAGTGTGGACCAGGCAAAAAAGAGAACGATCAACGCGGCATGGATGAAATGGAGGGAGTCCACTGGAATCCTCTGCGATCGAAGGTGCTCCAGAACGCTCAAAGGGAAGGTGTACCGGACAGTGGTAAGGCCTGCGATGCTATACGGCAGCGAGTGCTGGCCCCTGAACAAGAATCACGAAAGGCAGCTTCACTCTGCCGAAATGGGCCTGCGGCTGACGCGGCTGGACAGGGTCAGAAACGAGGATATCAGGGCAACTGCTCCTGTCCAGCTGAAGATGCGAGAGCAGCGCCTTCGATGGTATGGGCACGTGCTAAGGAGGCCACAGGATCATCCGATAAGAAAGCGATGGACTTCGAAGTGCAAGGCAAGCGACCGCGAGGAGCCCCAAAGAAGAGGTGGAAGACGTGATCAAGAAGGACCTAGGTGAGGTCACGGCCACGATGGAAGATGCCCTGGACAGAGCAAGTGGCGACGACTGACAAAAACAGCGGACCCTGCGACTGCGTGGGACCAACGCTAGAAAGGTATGGTATCCTCCAGAGTGAGACTTGAATAAGAAGGTGAGGAGAACTTATGTTTAGTGTCTCTTACTCTGGCAGCCCGTAGCCCACATATGGGCTGCATGGTCTTCAAAGCGTTAAAAGCTGAGAGGTTGAATCAGCAACGGTAATCGCGTTATTTTCCTCCCCTTGATAATG